ATCCCTTAATAAATAATTTGGCAAACATCGACAATAATAGAAAAACGGGTTATTATCGATCGAGCTATTTCATCTGAAAACAAAGTCTTGAACTAGTAAATTTCCCTTAAAGCCCGTTTCCGATAGTGAGTTGGGGCGGCGTTCAGGTGGAAAACCGATCGAGCCCAACAATCCGCCACTTTATTTAATACGGACGAGCCAAATAACAAAACCGAAATTAACGGGCCGAAATGAGCATAACTCGAGAAGACACGGGAACAAAAACCTGGCCGAACCTTTGCATTGTTTGCGAAAATTAAACACGGCTTTGCCACACTGCGATTTTATCCAGCTCGGCTCTAATAATAAAATATGGGAAGCGCAGAAATTGTTGTTTTATTAGCTGCCAGTTCTTTGTTGTGCCTTTTTATACAGCGCGAAGATTTAGTTGGAGCTCGAAAAACGGCTCTTTACCGTTTACTGTGCGGGTTTCAGCACCTGGATGGTTTCAGGTTGGAAAACGTTTTCGCTGCGACGGCCTAAGACATACGCCGTCGATGCAAATGAATGAGAGTGTTTTCTTCCGACGTTTTAATCACGTCCTCCAAAGCGCCGTTAATCGGGCCCCGTGCATCCTAAAGCGATCGGAATTTGAATTCTTTTGTAGACTTTACAGTCGTAAGATGCCGAAATGCATAATACATCCACGGGAATCGGAGAGGGTCTTAACGAAAACTTGTTTGTTTTGACTTCAATCGGAGCAGCGACTCCATCTCCTCGCCCGGACCGGTTTTTGATTGTCTAGCGAAATTGCTTTAAATAGATATTGCCGGATTGGGCGTATTGTTGTTCCGGATCAAGCACACGACGCAAGCGAATCTGTTCCAGATACTCGGGATTGTTTGCCGGACATCCAAGTGTGTCCCTGGACTGTCCTGGACAGTCGGGGCATTTTTCCATCTCAGGTAAAACGCAGTGTTTGAATGGCCCTTGGAGTATTTGCAAATGCATGCTGTAACCGCCACAAGCATAGTCGCGGCCGTTAACTCGCGCTTCAATTCCATAATGAAGCCAACTTGGAGTGCGCCCCTCAGCTATTTGACTCAATATTGCTGTTTGCGTGTTGCAACTTGCGAATTTTCTTAGCGGAGTTTGCCTTAGGCCCATTCGCGAAATCTGAATGGATGTTTAATGTGCTTAGAGACGTTCAAGCGGCTCATATTTGAGGCAGCGTTAATCGATTAACTGCCTCCTTGTCGTGCAACTAATCTTTACAGCGCTGGTAATCAGGAGTTTACTGTTATTTCGGTAATTACTCCTGATGGCTGGAAAGTACCAAAAGCCAGTTCCAGCCAAACTGTATGTTGTGTGTCATAATCGGCCCCTTCAACAAGTTACTTCCCAATCGATTTTCCATTCCATGTGCGTTCGATTCAACTAAATCGAGACAAGCAATTAATAAGCACCGTCTGTAGTGGAAGTTTTCGATTCCGTGACCGTTTAAATACAAGGCTGATAACTGAATTAGCCATTTAACGAACTCAATCGACAGTTTCGGAGTTTCCAACAATTACTCATCGTCCCAGACAAAAAAGGCCATTTATTGCAAGTTTGTTATCGCGCCAGTTTGTTCGCAACATATCAACCCGAAGCGATCGTAGATCATCGGTTTACATTCGAAATTGCATCCAATTTTAATAACTGCACGTCGATATTTCAAAGGGAAATGCAGTCGCTATCCGAAGCCCCGCTCTAATCCATAATGCGGGTCATGTTTATCCCCTTTTCCTGAAGGTCGCCAATTGACTTTGTTTGAATCTGTGATTGTATTAAGTGTATAAAAATTTTTCATTACAAAACCCGATTTTGCATTTATTGTTGAATGTATTCTGTCCAAGTGACTATAACATTGATGCCGATCTCTTCCAGCTCTTCTCTGCCGCTTCTCGTGATAATATCGCCTTCCTTGTTTACCACAATCACGGTCGGTAAGCTGCTGATGTCGTATTTGTATCTGCAAGTGATCAGCTAAACGACAACTAGAAGCTTAACTTCACAGGCTTGCCTGAGTTCAATAGCAACTGGGTCCTTGAACGGAACAGCCAACCAGGGGCCCTGTCTGATGGTGAAGTCGTACTTGTAGTTCTTCTCATCGGTGTCCGATGACACATAAACCACCTCCATGCCTGCATCTGAAACCCAACGCAATTCTCCTCACTAGTGGCTTAAACCACACGTTTCGCCCACTACTTCTTTTCAAATTCTCCTGGTAAACCATCCTGAGCTTCTGCAAGAACTCCGGCCGATTGACAAAGGAGGCCGTGAACAGGTACACGAGTATTCGCTTGTTTTTCAACACGTACTTGATTGGGTGCAGGCTGCCATCTTTGGACATCACTTTTTTGCCTTGCAACATGTCCATTCTTTGAATGGCGCCGATGTCAACTGTCTTTGTCAAAATGCAGGGTTTTTTGGTTAAATCGAAACCTTATTGGGCCGGTCTTTGTGTCTTGTGTGCGCGGCTCGATATCGAGATCAAAAAGCCAGCCAATCTCTTAACCGGAGCTTGCAGCAAAAAATCGCAGTGTATCCCTACTCGCTTTGGGAGTGGAACTAATCACTAGATACATCACGTCATTTGCCTAATGGCTTCCTGGATGCTAATCTGATGGCTGGAATCATCGCCCGTTTGCTAAAGTTACGCGCTAGAAATCTTTACCATTGGCGTGGGGGTCCGCTTTTATCCAGAAAACTCCGGGAGTTTATTGGAGCACAGCAAGTTGCTTGTTGCTATCATTAATGTGTCATCTGCACAAACAGTGGATGTCTAGTCAAAGGCAACTTAACGTTTCTTTAATGTGGAAGGTCCATCAGGAGCAGCAAGTGTTTTGTTAGGGAAACCGGGATGCCACCAAGGGCGGATCCAA